TTACAATTGTGAAATTGACAGCAATTGCTAGTATCCACACATAGGCAGTTAGGTGCAAAAATGTATATTTTATAGAATTGTCAAATGTTCCCATTATAAAATTTTATGGATTTTTTTCATAATAATGCCTTTTTTAAAGTTTGATATTCTACCTCAATCCCATGTGTGTGCCACAATCTTCATTTTGTACTTTGTGAAATGATCTAAAAGTCAAGCTTAAGCAGCGGTTTGTAGTCCCTAATTTGTTGTCAGAGAACACTCGGGTCAGTTGCTTCACCTGTTTGATGCCATGGCACTCAACTGTGGTCAGTATGTATTTATTGTCAGGAAAGAGGAAGTCCGTGCCACACTAATCACCAGATCTGGAATGTTATGAGTGTTCTGTTTAGGAAATGCATATTGTTTAGACCAGATTGTTGAAGTTTAATGTTGTGTAGCACATGCAGTTGATTTATTCTATGTACCTGGACTCTTTCATTACCTCTGGTAGTGAATAGAGATCCACACAGCCGTCAGTGAACATCCTATTTCCGACTCTATATGGAGGGAAGATCTTTAATTAATAAAGCAGTTGAAGATTAAGAACATAAGAACTCGGAGCAGGAGTAGGCCGTCCGGCCTTTCGAGCCTGCTCAGCCATTCAGTAAGATCATGGCTGATCTTTTCGTGGACTCAGATACACTTACCCGCGTTCTCATCGTATCCCTTAATTCCTTTATTGTTCAAAAAAAATCTACCTTATCTTTAAAAACGTTTACTGAAGTAGCGTCAACTTCTTCACTGGGCAAGGAATTCCATAGATTAACAATCCTCTGGGTGAAGAAGTTCCTTCTCAATTCAGTCCTAAATCTGCTCCCTCTAATCTTGACGCTATGCCCTCTTGTCCTAGCTTCACCTGCCAGTGGAAACATCCTCTCTACTTCTATCTTATCTATTCCCTTCATAATTTTATGTTTCTATAAGATCCCCCCCTCAATCTTCTGAATTCCAATGAATATAATCCCAACCTACTCTGTCTCTCCTCATAAGCCAACCCCCTCAGCTCCGGAGTCAACCTAGTGAACCTCCTTTGCAACCCCTCCAGTGCCAGTACATCCTTTCTCAAGTAAGGAGACCAAAACTGCACACAGTACTCCAGGTATGGCGTCATCAGCACCTTGTACAGCTGCAACATAACCTCTCTGCTTTTAATCTCAATCCCTTTAGCAATGAAGGACAAAATTCCATTTGCCTTCCTAATTACTTGTTGTACCTGCAGATCTACCTTCTGTGATTCATGCACAAGGACACCCAGGTCCCTCTGCATAGCAGCATGCTGCAACTTTTTACCATTCAAGTAATAATCCTTTTTACTATTACTCCTACCAAAATGTATGACTTCACGTTTGCTTACATTATATTCCATCTGCCAGACCTTTGCCCACTCACTCAATGTATCTATGTTCCTCTGCAAAGTTTCACAGTCCTTTGCACACTTTGCTCTGCCACTCATCTGAGTGTCATCTGCAAACTTTGACACCCTACACGTGGTCCCCAACTCCAAATCATCTATATAAATTGTAAATAATTGCGGTCCCAACACCGATCCCTGAGGCACACCACTAGTCACTGACTGCCAGCTAGAATAGCACTCGTTTATCCCCACTCTTTGCTTCCTGTTAGTCAACCAATCCTCTATCCATGCTAATACTTTACCCTTAACGCCATGCATCCTTATCTTATGCAGTAGCCTCTTGTGCGGCACCTTGTCGAAGGCCTTTTGGAAATCTAGGTACACCACATCCACTGGGTCCCCATTGTCCACCTTGCTCATAATGTCTTCATAGAATTCCAAAAGATTTGTCAAGCATGACCTGCCCTTCGTGAACCCATGCTGCATCTGCCCAATGGGACAATTTCTATCAAGATGCCTTGGTACTTCTTCCTTGATAATAGACTCCAGCATCTTCCCCACAACAGAGGTTAAGCTAACCGGTCTATAATTCCCCATCTTTTGTCTACTTCCCTTCTTAAACAGTGGTGTCACATTTGCTGTTTTCCAATCTGCTGGGACTGCCCCAGAGTCCAGCGAATTTTGGAAAATTACCGCCAGTGCACCTGCTATTTCTCCCGCCATCTCTTTTAGTACCCTGGGATGCATTCCATCAGGGCCGGGAGACTTATCAATCCTTAGTTCCATTAGCTTGCCCAACACTACCTCTTCCGTAATAATGATTGTTTCCAGGTCCTCACCTACCTTCGTCTCTTTGTCAATTACTGGCATGTTATTAGTGTCTTCCACTGTGAAGACTGATACAAAATACCTGTTCAATGCCTCAGCCATTTCATCATATCCCATAACTAAATTCCCCTTCTCGTCCTCTAAAGGGCCAATGTTTACTTTAGCCACTCTTTTTTTCGTTTTATATATTTATAGAAACTTTTGCTATCTGTCTTTATATTCTGTGCTAGTTTTTTCTCATGTTCTACCTTACTTTTCTTTATAGCTCTTTTTGTGGCTTTCTGTTGACCTTTTAAAGTTTTCCCAATCTTCTAGTTTCATGCTGTTTTTGGCCACTTTGTATGTCTTCTCTTTCAATTTGATAGCCTCCCTTATTTCTTTAGACACCCATGGCAGATTACCCCTTTTCTTACAGTCCTTCCTTTTCACTGGAATATACTTTCGCTGAGCACTTTGAAAAATTGCTTTGAAAGTCCTCCACTGCTCGTCAACTGTCCCACCATAAAATCTTTGTTTCCAGTCTACTTTAGCCAAGTCCTCCCTCATTCTATTGTAGTTCCCCTTGTTCAAGCACAGGACCCTGATATTGGATTATATCTTCACACTCTCCATCTGTATTCTAAATTCAACCATACTGTGATCACTCCTTCCAAGAGGATCCCTAACTATGAGGTCATTAATTATTCCTGTCTCATTACACAGGACCAGATCTAGGATAGCTTGCTCCCGCGTTGGTTCCATTACATACTGTTCAAGAAAACTATCACGGATACACTCAACGAACTCCTCCTCAAGGCTACCCTGACCGAGCTGGTTCGACCAATCTACATGTAGATTAAAATCCCCCATGATAATTGCCGTACCATTTTTACAGGCGTTAGTTATTTCTTTGTTTATTGCCCGCCCCAATGTAATGTTATTATTTGCTGGCCTATAGACTACGCCTATCAGTGACTTTTTCCTCTTAGAATTTCTAATTTCCACCCAAATGGATTCAACCTCATTCTCCATAGAACCTGTATCATCTCTCAGCACCGCCCTGATGTCGTCCTTGAATATCAGAGCTGTACCACCTCCCTTACCTTCCTGTCTGTCCTTCCGAATAGTCTGGTACTCTTGGATATTTAACTCCTAGTCGTGACCATCCTGTAACGATGTCTCCGTAATGGCTACCAAATCATATTCATTCGCGATGATTTGTGCCGTTAACTCATCAACCTTGTTACAAATGCTACGAGCATTCAGGTAAAGTGCCTTTATGCTAGCTTTCTTACCCTCATGATTTCCAATATCTCTAATAATATCTCCTGAGTTATCATTCTTTTTTGCTTCTTTCATAGTCTGATAGATCCTGGACACTACATTGAGTAACACATGCACACACATGTCCTGGAACGAAATTATTAATCTCTAACAACTATAGGCTAACTTCCTTCGTGCTAGATATGAACCAGCCTGTGGACAGTTTTTGTCTGCATTGCCTTCAGTTTTATTGAAGTTCCTTGTTTTTAATGTTAATGGCAGTCCCTGTTGCTTTGATTCATGGATTCATCTCTGACCAAGGCTTTAATCTTGCTTCAGGGTTGTGACTGCTATGATCAAAAGGTGTCTAGTTGAGCAGCATTTAAGTAGTTGTTGGTTAGTAAATGCTGCATGATTGTGAACAGACTTTCATCACTTGCTGATGATTGGGAATAGGCTAATTACAAGGATTATGTTTACCCTTTTTTATTTTGTGGATAGGATATAGTTGAACAATTTTTCACTACGCCAAGTAGATATCAGTATTGTAGCTGTACTAGGGCAATTTTGCTTGAACCATGGCTAATTTTCCAGCAAGACCTTTCACTAATATATATTTATGCCCCCTGTTTTTTTTTATTGTATAATTCTGGGTTCATTGACAATAACTATGGAAAAGCATTTTAGCCTTCTGAAACTCTGGTGACCAGCGACCTCCACTATGGCGTTACAACATGTGAAAAATATTTGTTAACAACTGTTAAATCTAACCCTTTTCATATACAATAACATTTTTTATAAATTTGGGGGGGAAAATAAGTGAACACCGTCGCTAGTTTTACGAATACAACCAAGAGAAGAAAATTATTAAGCTTGCTACGATAGGTTACCAAACATTTAGAAATTTAGTTGTACTATCAAATTTTAGTAGGCTAGGGCTCAGCCATAACTGTCTTCTTTCTGGTTGTTCAAAGTTTTCTTGTTTTCCTCCTTCCAAAAGCATTGTACGTATGGAGTATTAACCTTTTTTCTGTTCTCGAGGCTGCGCTTTTTGCTGTCTTGTGTAAATTCTACGGATTCTGGATGCCGAGGAACCTCTTCCCACACCAGACATATCTGCGCTGCCATAAATGCCATATTGTCAAGGAAAATGTAGGAATTCTGAAATATACTTTGCCAGTTACATTTACTAATCCTTCAAATATATGCTTATGACTTGTTCTGCAGTGGTGGATACTGAAACCCTTTTGAAGAATTCTGCAATTAATCCAGAGTTTGATCTAAAGATTTGATTAATATAAGCAGTTATTGATAACTCATCTCACTTTGTCATTTGAGTTGATGACTTCTTAAAACTGAGACTTCTAGAATTACAGCTGAACAAAATTCAGTTGCCAAATACTTAAAGGCATGCAGAGTCATAAAACTGATCACCTTTTCTGTCGTAAAGATTGGATTTTAGTTTGCTTACCTTAGAATTTGTGAAATATGAGTGTACACTGATGAATCCTATTTATCCTTCTTTGTTTGCATGCAGCAAGAAGTTATGGGCGAAGACGAGGTAAACATTTGGTTTTTAGTGCTGGCTTGTAAACAGATCAATGTGACTTCATAACCAATCACTAGTTACTTGTTATTAATTCAATACTGATTTCTCAATTAGATCTGCATGTACAAAGCATATCTGCATGAACATAACGCTGCACTTAATGCTTCTGAAAATTAGTTAATACGTTGTAGATTATGTTTTATATAGCCCTTCCAGAAAGAGTTGGGATCCTAAATTTGCATGGTCACCTCCAGCACAGTCCAAAACAGTATGATGATCTATTCAGTTGTCTAGGAGAGCCTGAATACTGTACTATTTTGCTCATGTTAGGCAGTAGAATTTTTCTACATGGGATGTTCTTTCCATATGGCTTCTTTTTAACTTTCAATTTTCTCTGAAAGTCCGATTTGACATCCACTCCTGCTCCAATTTAGGGCACAGACATCACATGGCCACTGTCGCAATGTTCTGTTAGCAGCATGAATAGTTGTTCAAAGCAGGAATGATGTGCCCCATGTCTGTCATTTTCAAGATTGAATGTCAAACAAGTGAAACTGGTTGTCTCGCTGAAGACTGCAGGAGAACTTAGAATTTGAAATGACAACTTGCTGGTTGATCAAAATGTCTATTAACAACTAATTAGTAACCAATGAACTGGATTTTTGGAAATTCATCAGCAAATCTATTCATAACCCCAATTGTAATAGTATTTCCTTTCCATTGAATAATAAGTATTAATATAATCAAATGGTGAGCTAAGATTATTTTCCTTTCGCCTCCCCATACTTTCTGAACTGACTTGCTGGAGGAATGTTCTGTCACAGGTCCTGATAAATACAGATGTCTTGCTGATTTGGCCATTACAAAGGGAATGGTTTAAGTACAGTATGGAAGGTACCACAAGTGACCCCATTCCATTCTCACCCTATATCATTCCTACTTTCTGCATGGGCACTGGATGGTATAGGACCATGGCTGATTTTTCTTCTTGAAAGATGTATTTTACCTCACTGATTTGAGGGTACAATGAAAAGTATCCTGTAGCCCAACAGTTATGCATGTTAGTGTCAACTGCCTCAGCGTAGATCAGGAATTGAACCTGAAAATGTTTTTGGGACTCCATACCCTTCCTAGGCAGTGCTTTTACCCAGTGTGGATGTAGAAATTTCTAACATTCAACATTAATGGGAATATTTTACCGATATGGATAATTTATCCACATGATTAATGACAAATAATATCAATGTGAATTATGCAGGTGATTGGCTTCAATCTTACAGATGACTTTTTTAAAAAAGTGAACCGTTGGCAGGATACAAAAGTCATGTGATGAATTCAGAAGTATCCTGGCTCAAAATCTTAATTTTATTATGTGCAACACTGTTCTTTACAATATTAAGTAAAAACCGAAGGTACTGGAAATACTCCATAGGTCCAGCAGTATCTCTTGAGAGAAGCAACATTAACATTAACAAATGTGACTTCTTCAGAATTGAAGGAAGATAGGAATGTGACATGTTTTATATTATTGAAAGAAGGAGGAAAAGCAAATGAGAGAGTCTGGAATAATCCCACTAGTTTCTTAGCCTGTAGTCCAGTAATTCATTGCAGGTTTTCACTTCAGTTTTACTTACCTATTTGGTTAATGGCAAGTCCAGATTTTATTTTTTACTTTCATGTTGATGTATGTGTTTGTTTCCCATCCGTAATTACTCTTGAGAAGGTGGTGTTGAGTTACCTTGAACTGCTGTACTCTGTGGTATGGGTGAACGGTGCTGTTACAGAGAGAATTCCATGATTTTGACCCAGTAACAGTGAATTCAGTTATGTAGTTCAAGGTCACAATGATCTGAGACTTGGAGAACAATTTGCAAATTGTGATGTTCTCGTGTATCCGCTATCCTTGTCCTTCTAGATGACAGGTTACAGGTTTGGAAGGTACTGTTGAAGGAGGTTTGTTGAGTTGCTGCAGTGCACCTTATTCATGGTACATTTCATCTAATGTCACTGGTTGAGGGGAGTGAATGTTTCAGGTGATGGAAGGAGTCCCAATCAGGTAGGCTGCTTATTGTGGGATGGCATTCAAGCTTTTTTGATATCATATGAGCTGCACTTATCCAGGAAAGTGAATATTTCAGTCCACTCCTGACCTGTACCTTGTGGATGCTAAGCCATCAAATGGCTCAGTGGGATTGGGGAATATGTTACTCACCACTGCATCCTCCAGCCAGTACCCAGTGATCCTCTGAATTTTTAGTGGGCAACCCTCTTTCTCCCAAGATGAACTGGAGCTACTTCAATAATACTGTTTCACTGTATCATTCTAGAATCTAAATAAAGGAACTAAGATCAAGAACCCTGTCTTGGGAGTTTTGCACTGCAATCCTAGAATAACTATGAAATGACTTTCACTTTTGTATCAATTCTAAAGGGATAGAATAACTCCAAAATTGGGACCAATATTCTGGAAAGCAGTGGCTTTGGATCTCACTGACTAATTGAATAATAACATCTGGCCTCAGTAACACTAAGAAGGATATAATAATTGAAATTGCGAATTGGAAAATATATCCTTCAATTGCTTTACATCTGGAAGAGGGTTCTGTTGATGCACATGTGCAGTAATTTCTTGTAGCATCCAGAGTAGCAGTCTCAACTCCAGATACCCATCACACTGTGGATGAAAAAATGTTTTCTTCAAATCCCCTCTAAACCTCCTGCCTTTTGTCTTTTAATATTATGCTCCTTTCAAACCACCCAGTTTGACTGAAATAGTGCCTAAATGGAATTTCATAGTGTACTGCAGCTTGCATGGATAATTAAGTCCTAAATTTGGTTTTTGCAATGTCACTGCCCTGTTACATAATGTTCGCAATCATCACAGCCTAAATGCATATCTTGTTTCCACCTATATAAAATTACACCTGATCCAGGTGTAATAAACAGAGTTTAAGTATAGTTGTATGCTCTTAAATTTGCCAATACCATAAATGATTCTGCAGCAGAATTCTGTTTGAGGCAGGCTCAATGCACGCGAATTGATATTCGCTTCAGCAGCACAAGTTAAATGAAACTGAAATGTATGCTGGAAATCCTCAACAGTTTGGGCAACATCTATGCAGGGAGGAACTTACAATTTCAGTTGAAATTGTTGAACTCTGTTAAATTTGTAAGGTTATAAATGTTAATTAAGTTCAAAAACTTGGCAACCTTGGCTACTACACTCTTTCTTTCAGATAGCAGCCATTATTAATAATTCACCTCTGCCCATTCGCACCACTTCCATTGCCCATCTTTTACTTACTTTTTTGGCCCATGCATTATCATTCTCTTTTTTGTATTTAATTTCTTAGTCTTCCACTCTATCACAGATTTCCCATTTTATTCTTTCCTGCCTTTCTGCCTTTTATTGTCTCTGTGCTCAGAGTCATGCAGCAGAGAAAAGGCCCTTCAGCCCATCAAGTGTACACTGATCCTTCTACACTAACTGCAACTTTCCAGCACCTGGCCCCTAGCTTTGAATATTATGATATTTCAAATGCTAATCCAAGTATGTTTTAAAGGTTGAGAGGTTTTCTGCCTCTACTACCCTCGTCAGACACTATATTCCAGATTCCCATCACTCTCTGGGTGAAAAAATGTTTCCTTCAAATCCCCTCTAAACCTCCTGCCTTCCATCTTTTAATATTATGCACCTTTCTAGTTGACCCTTCAACAAAGGGGGACAGCTGCCTCTGGAGGAGTCCCCAAGATCCCTCTGTTCCTTTTGAGTTTCCTTGTGTCCTACCAGTTATTGAGTACTCAATTGTCTTGCTATTTCTTCCAAACTGCATCACCTGACACGTTTCAAGATTAAATTCCATCTGCCTATCTGACCTGTCTGTATTTTGTTGTAACGTAAGAACTTCCTCATCATTAAATAGGGTATCCAGCTAACTTTCACATCAAGTGGTTATTAGTGGCAGGATTTCTAAAACCGATATCAAGTTGCTGAGATAACAAGGTGTAGCGCTGGATGAACACAGCAGGCCAAGCAGCATCAGAAGAGCAGGAAGGCTGACATTTCGGGCCTCCACATCAAGTTGCTGTGCCTCTTCCAACAAGCCACAAAATAGTCAGGAGCTAATTGCTTCTCCACAGTAGTTTAAACAAAGAGTGGAGGGAGAGAGGACTAAACCTTAGCTGTTGAACTCCCTTCTCTGGCCAACTGGCCTTCTGATTCCTATAACTGGACTGTTGATTCATCTGTAGGGGGTCACACCATGAAGCCTGGCATGTGCCATCTGTGGTTTTGAGGAGCTGACAACTTATTCTAAATGTGTTGTATCTCTGACCAGTTCTGATTAAACATCATTGACATTAAGCCTGCAGCCTATATAGACTGAGAAAGCTCATGACCTGTTGAGTATTTTCAACACTTTGTTTTGATTTCAGATTTCCAGCATCTGCAGTATTTTGATGCCAAAGTAAAACTGACATGCATTGTTCAGACCAAAACAAAATTTGTTGATATCAAATTTAAAATAACTCATAGATGCTTCAGTTGCTTTTATGCAGCTGTATTTGTACATCACCTTGAGCATGTAATCAGTTTAAACAACAAGATTAATTTATTCTGTTTGTGCTTTAATGTGTGCTAAATCATTTCACTCCTCGTCTTTTGAAATTTTGAGCAATGTAAAAAAATTTCCAGTGGGTCCATGCTTCTGTTTTATCCTGGTTGCTTTAATTTTTTTCTACTGAATTAAAATTAATACAACTAGCCATTCTCCAAATGAAATGTCAGCATCAGCTGATATGGGTTAATTGCTAGCTGGAGAATTAACCAGAGGAAGATTTGAGGACTGCCTCCGCTGGCTTTGACATGTTTTACTGAAGTTCTGAAGTATGTGCAAACTGTTAGCTCTTTTGTTAAAGAATTCAGTCTATAATATCTCAATAATTCAAGTTCAACCATTGAACACAATGTGCTCTGTTTACAGTTTCTTTCTTGTTGTAAGTTAAATGATCTGTTACTCACTGGTAGGCATAGATGTGAATCCAATAGGGCAAATATGGAGGGGAGTGGTGAAGTTGTAATGTTTCTGGGCTATAGTCATCCAGAACCCTACTGGGTTTTCTGGGGACATTTGATTCGAATCTCACCTTGACATATGGATCCAATAAAATGGCAAACGTAACCACTGCCAATTATTGTAAGAACCCATCTGGTTCAGTCCTTCCCCAAAAGAACATGAAACATTCCATCCCTGTTTGGTCTAACCTGTGGATCCTAACCTGTGTGACTCCAGACCCACAGCAATCAGTTGTCTATTAACTGCACTCTGGCAATTAGGAATGGGCAATCAATGCTGGCATAGCCAGTGATGCCCACCTCCCATGATTTTTTTTAAAATGTGTAGTTTGTAATATAGGATGAAGATGTACAGCTAAATTTCAGTTTGTTTGCTGCTGTGACAATTACAAGATTGTGCATTTGTCTTTTGCATCTGTTTTTAGTGACTTTGTCACCTTAATTGGAAATATACAGTTTTGTCTTCAGATTTTTATTGCTGTGAAGTAAGTTTATTTATGGTTCATCTCTAAAGTGCTTATTCTTACTGAGGAGTCCTATAACTAGTACAAATTGTATTCCAGCAAAATGACTGATTTGCTGCTAGTCTATAACTTGTAGTTTAAACTGCTGGAGCTAGCCTAATGAACAACTTGATTATTAGAAAAGCAGGAATTTGACTCCAGGTTTTATAGCATTTTGACTTGAATCAACATCACATGAGGCCATCTTTTGTGTATCGCTTAGCCTCCGGCAACTAGACACCATTGGTATACTAAATCCAACAAATTGTGGGCAAAAACCATTTGCTGAAGAAACTCAGATCTGGCAGTATCTGTGGAGGAAAATCAGACTTTTCTTCAACTATTTTTTTTTTCTCTCCACACATGCTGCCAGACCTGCTGAGTTTCTCCAGCAATTTGTTTTTGTTTTCAATACCAATGGTGCTGTCCTATTCATATTACTAATCATCCCATGTGTCTGCAAAACATGAACTCTTAGCTGTGATCTGAAAGAGGCAAATCAATTAGATTGGCACCCATTTGACAGTCATAAACAGTGCTTTCATTTGCCTGTTACTGAGTTAGGTAGCCAACAGAGTGGCTGTGTGTAGTTTCCAGATTACTTTGAACTTAAGTTTACATGTTAAATGTTCATATGCATTTGAACAATAAATTTGAAGCAACATAATACAATAAGTTGCAGATTCTGTTCCTTTTAGGGCATTGTTGATCAATGACTCGTTTATGAAATTATTTGCAAATAAATGTAGATATGTAAAAATATAAACCTGTTTCTTTCATACAGAATGTTGAATCATTTTGTGTTCAAGTGCTCAATAGCAAAGCAGCCATGAGCATCTTATTCTCTGGCTTATCAGAAAATACCATCCAGCTGTTCTATTATGTACAAAAGGGCAAACTATTTTAAATCTCTGCAGAATTTTTAATTGCAGAGTTAAAATTAAAATCCTGCTTTGTTGAAGTTAGTAACAGTTTTAGCATCAGCTTTTCATACACCTATATGATAAGTGTAAAGTTAGTTTTTTGCAATCTGTAATGATATGTAGATGCAACAGTTTGTAAACAAGTTAGCATAGTTTACACTACTCATTAAGCTTCAAATTTGACTAATTTTGCATTAAAAGTTTCATGCAAATGCATTACTAGTTGAATAGCTTCAAGGTCTTAGTCCTTGTGTGATACAGCTGACTTTGAGATTTCAGTTAATCATTTTTTTGCCTTTTTTGCAGGCCGCTCCTCGTTGTTCCCCATAGAAGATGGTTTTCTTGATGATGGACATGGTGATCAGACAGTCCCTGGGGTTCTGAATTCTGTTAATTGCTGCTCCTCTCACCAGAATGGGGAACGAATTGAACGATACTCACGTAAAGTATTTGTTGGTGGCCTTCCCCCAGATATCGATGAAGGTACTGCCAGTTGTGACACAGCTCAGGAGTTTTATTTTCATTTCTGTACTTTTTGTTTGTTTGTTTGTTTGTTTGTTTGTTTGTTTGTTTGTTTGTTTGTTTGTTTGTTTGTTTGTTTGGCTTCTGTGCATTATAAACTTTCTCCTTTACAGATGAAATTACTGCCAGTTTTCGTCGTTTCGGACCCTTGGTTGTTGATTGGCCTCACAAGGCTGAAAGCAAATCTTATTTTCCACCAAAAGGTAAGGCAATTTATTTAATAAGGTGACACTCTTTCAGATATATTTCACCCACCCAGACACAGTTTGAATTTGTTTTATTCATGAAATAAAATTAGTAAACTGTTAGTACGTAGGTGCTAACTCGGTTCTGAAAATTGGAATATTGCTTCTGGATCCTTTTTTTTTCTGCAAGTAATCCATGAGTTGGTTGTTTTGGAGATGTGGAGAGATTCATATTTGGGACTGGGTCAGGGTTCATACTACTGTAATGGTTGTTTAATCTGCAAACTTTATGCTTTGCTTCAGATTAAAATTATTATGGAATTAGATCACAGGCTGGTCAGGCTCAAGGGACTAAATGACCTACTCTTGCTCCATGTTCATAAATAATGTTGTGTGATTGCCATTTAATTGTTCGGTAAGTTGGCTGGACAACTGATTTGCAATGCAAAGTAATGCCAACGACATGGATTCATTTGCTGCACTGGCTGAGGTTACCATGAAGGATTCTCCTTTTTCAACCTCCACGGAGGTGCGGTGACCCTCGGGTTTAAACCACCATCAGTTGTTTCTTCCTAAAGAGGGAGCAGCCCTATTGTCTGGTAGGACTAAGGTGACTTAAAAACAAAGTTTAAAAATTCAGTCCTGAATAGCAGCACTAATGTGACATACAAGTTGACTTCTTAGCTTTGTCATGTTGGTAAGAGAAACTCTGTCCACTGGCTGGAGTCATCCCTAGCACAAAGGGAGTTATTGAAAGTCAAATTTTGGCCCTAGGTAATCACTGCAGTGATCTCTGAAATTCAGGAGACAGAGGATCTGTGGCATAGGAGGTGGTAATTTTGTCCATTGTGTACATGGCAACTGCAAAAATACCATCCAACCTTAATTCCTCTTCTAGCCCTACGTCTGTAACTCTGTAGGCTTTTGAGTGCATGTCCAGGTATTTTTAAATACAATGAGAGTTTGTTAAAGTTGTTCAGAGCAGAGGTTCTTTAGTTGGAGCTAAGAGACAAAAGTAAAAGTGCCGTTACGTTGTCTATGGGCCTCACATTAACAGGAAAGATGTAGAGAAACAAAATTGTGATGAAGAAAGGAAAGAATAATGGTCTATTATAATGAGGCCTTTATCCGAGTATAGACTAGAAAGTATCTGTATAAAGGGCAGGTGAGCAAACATTCCAATAGATATGTTTAGGAGAATTTTCTACAGCAATATGTTTCCAGTCCAATGAGAAAGGAGTAACTGTTGGATCCAGTTTTTGGGATGATGTGGGCCAAGCGAAATAAGCATGGGGGCCACCATTTAGGGGACAGTAATCATTGTGTCACAAAGCTTTGGACAAGGAGCATTCCAGAGTAAGAATAATTAACTGAGGGGGAAAGAAAGCTTTGGGATAAGAATGGATCTATCCAAGATAAATTGGAATCAAAAATTAGCAGACAAAATGTTAAAGATGGTTCATTATTCAGTTAAAGAAAAGATAGCATCAGGTACAGTCAAGTTTGCTTCCTATGAAGCAGGGAGGAAGGGCAAACAAATCCAGAGCACCCTAGATGACAGAAGAAGCAGAGAAGTGTGCTTTGGGTAGATAATACAATTAAGGCTGCTAAGAAGGTTTAGAGGGGTATGGTAGAAGACTGGTCACTAACATAAAAGGCAATCCAAAAGTTTTTGGTGGACATAACTGGTAAACAAGTAGTTAGAGGAGGAGTGGGGTCAATTAGAGACCAAAAAAGGAGATTGATTGCATGGAGGCAGGGGGCATGGCTGAGAATGAAATGAATGCTTTACCAATGAACATGATGTTGCCCAGTCATTGTGAAAGAGTATGTAGTTCAGATACTTGAGTGGTTTAAAATTCGTAAGTAGGATAAGTTGTCTGTACTTAAGAAGTTGAAAAGTCACAAGGAAGTAGGAAGTGAGAGTAGAAATTGCAGTAGCATTGTCCATAATTTTCCAATCATCCTTAGACTCAGGTTTACCAAAGGACTGGAGCATTGCAAATGATACAGCCTCCTTCAAAAAGGAATGCAAAGGTAAACTAGGTCCTTTCAGATCTGTCGGTTTTACCCTGGGGATGAAGCTTTTAGGAGTGATACACTTCTGCTAAATTTAAGTCATTTCTGCAAATGGGGAGTGACTAGGGAAAGTAAGCTTGGAATATTAAGGACAAATTGTGTCTAACAAACTTGGCATTTTGATGAAGTAAGAGAAAGGCTTAAGGGCAGCACCATACATGAACTTGCACAAGATACTTAATAAAGTGCCACATAACCGACTTCTTGAGCAAAGTTTGAGAATGTGGAATAACTGGACAGTAGCAACTTTGATTTCAGATGGCTGAAGGAAGGGAAACCGTGTAGCGGTTAATAGTTGTCTTGTAGGCTGGAGGAGGATTTATCATGTACTACCCAAGGATCAGTATTAGGAATGTCACTTTATATTAATAGCCTAATTCTTGGTGTACAAGGCACAATTTCAGAATTTGGGGATGGTGCAAAACTTGGAATAATTTATAAAACTTGAGAATGGTGTAGAAACTGAAAAGGACATAGACAGGTTAGAGGAACACTAGATGAAATTGAATGCAAAGAATTGTGAAATGATTACTTTTGGTCAGAAGAATTTAAAGACAACATAAAAGTTGTGAAGAAGGGTCACCGGACCCGAAACGTTAACTCTAATTTCTCTCAACAGGTGCTGCCAGACCTGCTGAGCTTTTCCAGCAATTTGTTACTGTTTCTGAATATAAAAGTACAATTCTATAAGGGGTGCAGGAGCTGAAGTACATGGCTATGTATGTGCATAAAATATTGAAGGAGAGTGGACATGCTGTGAATGGTTAATAAAATGTGGAATTCCGGGCTTCTTTAATAAAGTTGGAGTACAAAATCAAAGAAATTGTGTTAACCTTTTTAAAACCCATTGGTTTGGTCTCAACCAGAGTAGAATATACCGTTCTGGGTATCACCCTTTAATATGTGAAAGTATTACAGAAGGCATAGGAAAGATTCACAAGAATAGTTCCTAGAATTAAGAAATGCAATTTAATAAAAAGATTGGAGAAGTTTAGACTGTTCTCGTTGGTGAAGGAATTTATTCAGTACTCAAAATTTTGAGGGGAGATGGTAAATGGGGGAAAAGCTGTTTCCGTTGGTTTGAAAAATTGTGAACTGGGGAAATAGCTTTATGATTTGCAAAAAGTGCAATACTGACATGAAAATAAACTTTACGTAGTGGCTGAAGGCCAGTTGATGCTGAATCAGTACTTCTTTTGAAGCTTTAATGTAACTTCCTTGGCACAAAAATATTATAACTTCAGGAGTAGTTTGGAGGCTGCACTTTGTGCCAAGCAACTCTCTTCATAGCTCTGAAAGCCTTTTCGCTACCCGCAAGACACAAATGGGATGACATGTTCTACACTTGCCCTGGGTGAGCACAGCTACAACGCTCAGCTCAGCACTATTGAGCAATGCAGCTCACTTGATCAGCACCCTGTTCATCACAGTAAAGGTACACTCCCCTCTTAAATCTGCTTAAACTGATTGTAGATTGAAATATGTACTAAGTATATCTCAGCAACTTACCAAGGCTTCCTTGACAAGATCTCTCAAAATAAAAAATTCCATTATTTAAAGGTGCAAAAATAGAAAGTTGCATTGGAACATCTACCTCCAAGTCTCTCACCATCCTGAATTGGAAATGTATCACCATTCTTTCACAGTCACTGTGTCAAAATACTGGAACTTTGAGCCATGTGAAAGTACCATTATATAGATTTTCAGTGATTCAAGCATTCTCATTGACACAGCAAATCAAAGAAAATCCCCACACTCATCTGAAATCCCATAACCTCTACTAGAATGGACTACGCAATCTATAAACTAGCAACCACCCACCTCCTGCTGGGGCCTAATTGACTGCAAACATCATGATCCATAACTTGGTACATCGCAAGAGTAGCAAAGTCCTAACTTTAGACTTTCCACAGAATATGTGAACAATAATCAACAGCTGGCACAGGCCAGAAAATAAATGACATCTTTCTCCATCCTGCAAACCCATGACCTCTACCACCAAGAAGAAAATGGGAAAACCACCATCTGCAAGTTCCCCTTCAAGTCACACACAATTTTGACTTGGACTTGTATCACTGGTTTTTCAGATTGCTGGGTCAAAATGCTAGCACTCCCTCCATAATAGCATTGTGGGTGTACCTACACCACATAGGACTGAAGTGGCTCCAGAAGACCAATCACGATCACTTTCGAAGGGAAGTTGGGAACGTGCAGTAAATGCTGGCCGAGCCAGTAACAACCATATCCCATGAAAGAGCTTTTTTAAAAATTAGGAACAGCATAAATTGAGACTGGTCATACACTGAATTGTTATTCTATCTATTCCTGATGGCATCACAACCATTCACATTGAACCAGCTGAAGCCGTTGAATAGATTTGTAATGCTTATCTTCAACTATAACTGTCTGTCCAGGTGTATGAATGACAAAAGGTGTTTTCTGATTATCTTCCATTTAATCTACTTAACAATTTAATTTAGCAAAATATACAACCTGAGACTTGTGATTTGGATTCAACCAAATAGCATTTACAGCAATTATCATCTATTTCCAGTCCAGGAGTGGCACAATATTTCCAGTGCTTATTTACTTGAATTTGTAAATATGCTTGTCTGATACATGGTCATTCAAAAGTTGCTTGTATTAAAATGCATTGTTTCTTTAAATAAAAAAGAAATCAAGTTTATCTAAAGAAGTCCATAAAGCTATATATTTGGTTAATTTTTTTGTTTCATTTATGCTTTCAAATTGAAGTGGCCTTTTAACAGGCAACAAATAAATTTAATCATAGTTACAGTAAAATTGAGTGTTAACTAAAGTGAACTGAGTGGATGGAATGACAGTAAGCAAGCAGTAGCAGACGTAATTCGTGACTCTCGGCAAAAAATACATCTGTGAGGAGGTAGGATTCTAAAAGAGGGATAAACCATCCATGGCTA